TGTTATGTTGAAACAAAATGCTTGAAAAACCTCAGTATCAAGGAAGCCTTGTTGATAGACTGCAATGTCCACAGGACAAATCTTGTAGGAAAGCTGATCAAATTTTACACTTTGTAGCGATTCCCTGACAAAATCAATTTTTTACGAAGGTAAGCAATGTCTCCTATTGTCCTTTACGCTACTCTTCTGGGCACTATTGTAAATGTAACCCGCAGATGCTTTAAAAATCTCCAATTCGGATGCAGGAACTTCCTTGAAAAACAGCTGACCGTTGTTTACTATTACAAAACACGTGAAAATGATTACGAAGCAGACCGCCGGCACGGTATTTATACGCGCGTCGTTTAAATCTGAGAGTCTCCAGCAGCTCCGTGTTGATCGGCGCGCACTGGTGGTCTATTGCGCAATACAAAGGCCAAAGTACCGGTTTGCCGGAGACGAAAATGACGCCAGCCGTAGAGATAACGACTCGTTTCTTGTAGGCATAAGTGTTTTAGCAATCAAAGTTTATGTAGACATTGATATTTGAAACTGTTATTCCAAATCAAACATTCCATAAACTTTCTCTAAAGGGTTTTGACGATAAATCTGTGAAAGTCTGATTTCTTATTTCCGTTTCCTTGTTTTGTAATTATAGTGACAAACTCTCACGACATATGATTGTCATTACAGTGAGAGCAAGGTGGCAATAATTATTTAATTGGACAAATGTTAACACTTACACAAACGAAACCACGAGAATCTCGTACCTTCCGTGTTTGGAAGAAATGAAAATGATATTGATGTTGATACATACAATTACTAAATGCCCTGCTTTGAAAGTTTAACAGTATATGCCAAATTTCTTTGCCTGAATTTCTTTCGATAATAACTTTGATTCTTTGATCAGCAAAGTATAGACGATAGACGTACAATAAATTGACATCATTGCAAGAGAAATACACTCTCTTTTATATGAACATTTTTATAAGAATATGAGCCTCAAAATTTGTCAAAAGTTAAGAAGAAATAAAGAACAAGATGAGGCTGAGCTACTATAAAGTGTAATTTTGAACAATGTTTAAACTCTTATATAGGAGGAGTTTTTGTGATCTAGGGATCAGGGATACCGGTGAATTTTCACTTGCACTGCTTACACCCTAATCATTTAAGAACAAATTAGGAACAATGGAGCCTCAGGTTTTCGAAAAAATTAAGAACAGCCAGTCTGAGCTTAAAAAAGAGTGTATTTAGACTCTTCACAAATTCTACAGCCAGTTGAAATTCTATTCCTCTAAGCTTATTGATTTATGTTTCCAGCTTTAAACCTTTTGTTGCTAGAGTTGTTAATCTGCTGCAAATTTTTGCTTATCGTATTTGTATTAAGAGCCAGTCATGAGTTGATTTATACTGATGCTGAATGAATATCATCATCATAATGATAAAAATGATTTAATAGTAATAATAATGATAATGTCAATAATAATAATGAAAACGGCAGATAAATTTATTACGAATCATAATAAAGAGTACAAGCATTCTTTACATTTTGCTAGATCGTAAATTATATATCAAATAAAGCACAAATATCAACTATCACAGATAAATGATTTAAGTTACTTTTGGGGCTCATGGATTCTAAACCTCGCCAAGTCCCGGCTTAATCACCGAACAATGAAAGCACATAATTTTAATTACGAAACAGAGGCAACTCTCATTAGATGATTCACGGTTGCAACACATTGCATAAATCGTCATCACCACAGTGACTCATTTATCAATTTCCTTGTTTAGAAATTCACTTTTAACTTTTGCTAGACAAGAAAAAGGCAACGTGACTTTAAAATCATGTGAGGTGGGACCCTTTGGCGTCAGAGTGAATTTTTTCCAATCAACACATTTTACGTTCCCGTAAGAATGTGTCACGTTTCAACACCTTGCAAAAATGGATCAATTTAACAAAGAATTGAAACTTGCATACAGTGCATTTACACAAATTATTGCGACTCCCTTTCTGCCACTGGTTGTGATGTGGACCCGCATTATATACCAATATGGTATAACATACGTCGACTTTGGGGCACCTACTCTGGAGGGGCTGCAGGGCCGCTGCCTCTCCTGCCCTCTTCCAGGAGGGCAGAGGGGGCAAGAAGTGCCTTTAAATATTTACTCCCAAGAAAAGTCTATAGAATCTTGTAGATAATTGATGACTAGTTTAGCCACTCTCAATAGAGTTCTAAAGTGTGACGTCATCAAAAACCTATTTTCAGAATTTTTGGATTTTAACCACATAGCGTAAAAGATCGCTATGAAATACTTCCAAATATGCAAAATTGACCAGATATGTCTAAAATCGGTTGAGATATCGCTAATGAAAGATTTGAAGTTTGCTAACGAATCACTGTTATTTTGGCTCTGTTCATAAAGTTATGAACAGAGACCAAAATACAGAGGTTTGATGGGGAGAGAACCAGTAATGTGGCCATATCTCTGCCATTTCGTAATACACTTGCCTGATTTTGCACATTTAGAGGTATTTCATGATGATCTTTCAGGTTATGGAGTCAAAATTCAAAAATTCCAAAAATAGATTTTTGTGACGTCATCACTTTAGAACTCTATATGTTACTTTAAATTAGAAATTCAAAAAAATAGAAAATTTTTGCTGTCGGTCTTTGATTCTTTTTCAGAAGATGATAATTTACTTCAAAAACCAACGGCATGTTATAAGAAATATACTGACTATTTTGCCCATCACCAAAACGAGGATTTTACGTTTATTTTGTGCCTATTTTACGTAATATAAAAAACACGCTGAATTAAAAAAATATTTGATTTGCATTTTATTCTTGTAATTATTATTTTCCTTACAACTATCTCAATGATTCTGCAACCATGGAGTATTGAGACTGAAAGGACAATCAAAGTTTTACAATCATCCTATTTCTAATTGTCATGATTCTAATAAAACGAAACATTTCGATTAATGAGAAGGCCAATTAATACCAATTCGCATGGATAATTTTGTCAACATTATTCCTATGCGTGTAGAGCCTTTGATTCCATAAATCCCAGCTGTATGGGTGGAACAGATCCATGCTAATATTTCATTTTGCTCCACCCTTCCCCCCCTCACATATAATCAATTATAGTAGTGGAAAAAACTCTACCATTTGCCCTCAGCACTAATACTGACCCTCCTGCCTCAGTCTTTTACAGGCGCCCCTGCCTCGACTGGGGGTATAATCGGGAAAAATCAAGCAACTTCACTAATCAAAATAAAAAAACTAGAATAAACCTAATTTTGCAAGAAAAGGAACCAAGAATTTTGAAATTTTGTGCAAATCAATCAATATGATTGGCTTATGGCATAAAAAATTATACATAAAGGATAAAAATAAACTTCCCTCATCTAGAGGAAGCATTAGGACGCAAGTAACTATCTTGTCAGAAATGCTAGGAGCATTTCGACACATAAAAAATTGAGGAGTTTCTCTGGTTGCAGCCACAAAAAGAAAAACCCTCCATAACAAGCTTCTGTTTGAAAACTTTTTAACATGAAAAATTAGATACAGAACCCAGAATGTTCAAATTGATTGTATTGCTTGCTAACTAGCCGAAGGTAGTGTTAGGACACTGTAAATATATCGAGCAGAGTCCTGACCTTTCTCTCGATGTGACCACACCTCATGATTCCTATGCCTGGAATTAAAGAGAGTTGGCGACTCTCCTCTCTCTAGGGGAAAGTTCGGTAATGAGAGGGTCTCGAACCACGGACCCTTGGGTCTGTATTTCCCAAAGCCTTAAGAAACTGGAGTACTCAACGTTGATCTTTTTAAAGATGTAAGACTCTAGCCGTAGACTTTGTCTATATTACGTAGACACAGAAATAAGGGTACCTTTTTCAACTGGCAACTCTTCGCCAGTCCCTCCTGCATTTGGGTATGGAGCCAGACGATTCTCTTTCATAAATTTACCAAAATCCTAAAATACAAAATGAAAAGCAAATAAAAAGATGCATCGTAGTAGGTTTGACTGCATATAATTAGCAAGTTTAAAGCTGGGATCATCTTTTTTACAATTATTTGCAAGAGATTTACAATTATTTCCTGACAACTAATAAAATTGATACATTATATTTTCATTAGATTGATGCATAATATTTTGAAGAAAGCTTTTCATCCTTAAGAATAATACGCTAAGTATTTCCGATTTTTTGTTCCTATTTATAAGCTCGAAAACGGAGTCATTTGATAGTAAAACTGATGTCTTTCGAAAAAGATGCTCAAATGGCGCCATTCGACGGAAACAACAGAAAAGAAGTCATTCGAAAACGTAGTCATTCATCTATGGTTTTCAAAACGAGTCCGAGCAAAGGATATGAAGACGGACGAAAAGTGAGTAAAGAGAACTCCTTTGTTGTCGTGCCAGACTCTCTTGACGAAAACTGAGTAGAGCGGAAGAACGGTTAAAGAAAAAAGGAAATGGTCTGAAAATGAAGACGCATTAGAACGGGGAAATTGAAACAGGGCCTCAATGTCCCTTACTATGCAAGCATGTAGGCTTACACCACGCAAACAACTCATTTTTAAAAAGATTGACACTAAAACATGCTGATATTTGAAATAATTTTGCCATCACCCGCAATGAAAGTCTTTTTTTCCTTTCTGGCGGAAATCACTCGCTGTAATACAGCATTTCAAGCCTGAATTTTTTTACCAAACTTCATTCTAACCGTGAGACTCATTTTATTGTTGCTGACAGTATAGTGTTTACAAATACTGAAGAAAATAATATTGGGGAAGAACGGTTCATTCAAACGCGTTTGTTTAAAAAACAAACAGATTGCAATGACGTTAACTTAACCCTATCCAGACTAGGCTTTTTGAAACTTTCGGGAGACTAGGGGGGGGGGGCACAAAGTGCCCCCCCTCCGTAATTTCTTTGTCCCTCTAGCTAGGACAATAAACTTTGTTTTGATGGTACTCCTATCTTTTCTCCACATTTTAGTATTATTGTTCAATTTTTAAGTCACGTGGTTTTACGATGACGTCATCATAATGGTGGCCGGGTGAAGCAAAAATTTAGAAAATTTTAGAAAATCTTAAAATAATCATTAATTCCAAAGCATCGGGCTAAGATATTAAAATAAGCAAATTTGATGCATTTTCTAATAGAAACAAGAAGATTGCCACAATTTTAATGCTACTTCTCAAAATTATTAACGTTCCCAACAAAAGAACTCAACATATTTTGTATTTGGCTATAGTATTTTCTATATAACTAAATGATCGATACAACCAAATGTCATGTTTGAGTTCATTTTTAGTGCCTTAGCAGACAAATTATTCTAAACTGGCAGTTTTATTAAAGTAATACCTATAAATCTGTCAACAAATGCGTGCGCATGCGCAGCAGAAAAATCATAGAAAAGGATGTTGAATTTGAATTTTCTGGTCAGAATCATGAAAAGAGCACAAATTTATGCCTAGATACTAATTTTCATCAATATATCTACTTTTGTTGCGAATCCGTGGCGGATTGAACTATTTTTTACTTGACTAGTTTTGAAAACGCCCCTACACAACCCCCTGATTAATAATAAAAAAATTATCTTTTTATATGAACATGTGTCAGATAGGTTAAAACTAAAAGTCAGGAGGTCTGAGGGGTATTGCTTTGAAACTCCTGAAATTATGAAAGAAAAACCAACCAGGGGGGCACTTTGTGCCCCCCCCCCTAGTCTGGATAGGGTTAAAACCTCTGTTGTCCCCTGAATTGATCCTTTTTCAAGGTGTAAAGTGCCTGCCAAATATCTTGGTACATTGAACTAAATTTTTGAATATTTCATACTGCTTCCCCCTTCCTTTCTGAATAATGTTGTTTCATGCCAGGTTAAGAGGTTCAGTTTGGTCCAATGGATTCGTTAATATGATTACATTAGAACTAACATTGTTTTCGGAGAGACAGGGTGCGGTGCCCCTCCTCTTTACCAACAAACGGTTAATTTCTTTTAAAACAACGCTCAAGCAACTGCGTGTGCCAAGGACACGTGGCAGGGATTGTTAGCTTCCTTCAGTCTAACCCAATTATTCAACCACGAATGTTTGCCACATACATATTATAAAAAACGATTCATGTCTAAAGCATTTCAGGTAGCATAGGGACAGTCGGACGGCAAAAATGATATAGTACTATAGTCCACTAAATTATCATTAAAAAGTGTAATGATTTCGGGGATTTTCCTGGACAAAAAGCTTTCAAAAAATTTTGGCATTAAATCTTACAATTTTCCGAAAAAATATTTTTATGCCCAATCTTTTGATGACGTTTTTACATATGCTTGAAAAAATATTCTCTACAAACTACAATACTGAAAGGAAATGCTCATTTTTTCTCAACTGAAAACACTATAAATGTTTACCCGTCGGCCCGAAATAATATAAAAGTTAAGAAACTCTATAAGAAAAGTTTTCTACAATTGCCATTTGCTCGTATTCTACAGTAACTTGATAAAAATATATATACAGAACTTTGTATATGACAAGCTTTCAATACTTGGTTCTGGATTCACAAAAATGTGTAGTCAAAAGGAGAAGAGACATGCATTCATTGGATTTAACAGTTTTTCTTTCTGTGACCACTCTAGGGAGGCGATTTCGTTACGGTTCTTTACTGTAGGGATGCTGTGGGAAAACTCAAATTGGAACCCCCCAAAAAATGCGAAATCCTGCTGCTAGAATCATTAAAAATTGCAGCTATCATATTTCAGCAGACGGTTTAATAAATAAGGCTGAAATAGCCAACATTTTCTGGCATGACGCAAAATGAAACTGCGATTATAATGTACAATTTAAACAGCCCCTGAATATCTGATAAGGTTATTTACAAAAAGCTAAGAGCAAAATACATTGAAAATAGGAAACACAAAAAAGGAGTTGCGTGATCCTCTATTCAAACAATCAAATGGGAGCAAGTTCTCTTATTTTGCGGGCCTAAGCTATGTAACAAATTGAGTAAAGTTCTCAAACATTCCATCTATCAAAATATGTTGAAGAAAACAATGTAGAAGTTTTCCTTTACTTTTCTTTTTTTCCTTTTGAAAATGCCATGGACATTGCCTAGTTTGATTTATGGCTTATTAAATTTCCAATTTTGTAATTGAATTTTTTCTAAGTTGTTTAAGTAAAGTTTTATCAAGTGGCGTTGTTTAAACTGCACCCTGTAAAGCAGTCTTAACTGACTGGCTGGACTCCCATGGTTAAATAAAATAAGATGCAATGAAATGAAAATTTAATCTTTTATGACAGCCTGAGACACCCTGCATAAAGCAGCACAATGTGACGTACCTCAATACGATAATCAGTTACACGGCCACCACAGCCTTCACTTATAGATGGAGGATCCTCAACAGGGTTCCGACCAGTAGCTAAGACATGTATGTATACATCCCCTGTAAACACAAACAATTATATCTATTATAGTAACAAATACAGAAATGACCTAATAACTAATAAACGCAACATATATTGACGAAGCATTGATTCAGTGACAATTATTGACAACATTGGGCGCTGCGATTAAAATGGGGCAGATAGAGGCTGCAGCTTTAACAGGCTAGTGAAGCTTTCTTACCTCGTTCTTTACGAGCCTCAGTTTTATGTATGCAATAAAGATAGAGAACCTACGTAACATTAGATGATAACATAACTGAGGTTTAAGAGGCTTTGCAACAGAACAAAAAGAACTGCTTCGCTTGAGTCATTCCAATGCATGTCAACTTACATTTTGTTTAGCATGAACTAAATTGATTCTATTTTATACGGCATTGGAATAATCGCGATGGACCAAAGGAGTAATGGACTGAAGGGACAATGGATCAAGGTGCAATGGATCAAAGGTGCAATGGATCAAAGGGGCAAAGAACCAAAGGGGCAGCAAAAAACCAAACAAATTATTGGAAAATGACATTCTACAAGTGATGGTGGATTAAGATTGCGTGATCTTACCTCCATGACTTACAAGCATATGGGAAATGACTTTGGCTCCGGATCTCTTTGGCTGTTCCAGTAAGACAGTTCGACCTGTAAAAATAATGGGAACAGTTTACGGCAGAGATCAGAAAATACAACACTACAGAGCATTTACATAAAATATCAAGATCCTTGGCAAGCATTCATCCCATAGAAATCAAGAAATAAAATTTTGATACATTATCATCCCCAGAAGTTGGTAGCAAAACCATTGCTTTCAGTTGGAATGGACTTTTTTAATCGAAAACAGCTACTCAAAGTTTTCATCCTGTGAAAAAAGATGGTATCTAAATCAAAATTTCCCAACCCACTGATAATTGTAGCATTTTATTTAGAGTTGCCTTAGGCATTAACGACTTACTCGGTATCCCGTCGCTAAAGACACCATATTTCCTTTCAATTCATTTCATGTCCAGGGAATTTACCTGAAGCGTTCTTATCATATAAGAAATTGGCTGCATAGAATTTAGAACAGCTTAACAAAAGCAAATATTTGAGACAGACTGAATCTTTTCGCCTGGAGCTGCTAGAAAATATATAACAAGGACGTACCTTGTTGTAGAAAGGAAATAAGGCATGCTGCTGGTCGACTGTTTACCTAAAAAGGACAATTATTGACTTACGAGGAAGCTGTTCACAATTTGGTGCATAGAACAGGACGGTTTTAAGTTGCAAATCGTGGATTCATGCTTAATATGCCAATAGTTTTATCGCTTTATTATCGTTGATTTCACAGTTGCCGGGTCAATGACAACACAGAGTTGGAAGTTACTGCTGTCCTGTTCTATACACAAAAACGTACCTCAAAAAAATTATCAATCGATAGGCAAATATAGATGTTTTGATTCTTTTCTCCCAAAGACCATTGCCGAGTGCTTATGGTCATAAGGTATCATAGCTGATTAAAGCAAGTTAAGAAGACTTTTTTCATTACCAACAAAAAAATCAAAGGCTCTGCCTTACAGGTACAAAAGCAGCAGTTGAACAATTCATATCAAGTTGGAAAATAAAAGGTTGTTCATTTAATAAAAATAAAACGTTAGATTTCATACCTTTTTTAGAAACAGTATTTTTAGAAACAGTATTTTTAGAAACAGTATTCTAAGAAACAGTATTTTTATCCTTAGAAACAAATTTTATTATCTAGATATTAAACTGTATCATATTGTCTCCTTATTATCAAGACCAGCAGGAGAAAAAAGGCCATTGCATTATGATGCTTGCACTAACAAACAGAGGAAATGAAGTTTGCATCAAGAAAATTATGGGAGTAGTCAGAAATGTTGTCTTTACGTCTTCGTTTAGCACAAACACGATTCATTATAAGGGCATTTGGTATAGTATACAGAATTGTCGTGACTCCTAAAAGCAGGAAAATAAAGTCAGAGTTCTAGCATCACTAGGAAAACTAAATAAAATAAATACTTCTTTTTTCGCAAACACAAATACCATGTCACATCAAATAAATTATCTCGTTTGAAAATTATTAATACAAAGAATCTCGTTTGAAAATAAAAAACCATAATAGAACTTGGGATGTAAGCAAACTGCCTTACCTCTGCAGGGGTGCATCTGTACGCTCCAATGCATTGTAAAAGCTCTGCCGTTGAAGATAATAAATTTCATTCCTAATCAATTTTATAAACATGAAAACTAAATAGAAAGAAATACAGCATAAATCCAAATATCATATAAAGCAAAAAAATAAGTCTCCTTTTCTTCGAAGTAAATGAATTGAAAGATGGGAAATCCTATTAGGCAAGTTGGGCATAAGTGGAGGAATAATGGAGGTGAAGATGATTAAAGAAAAAATACTTCGAAAATAGAAACAGAATCAAAGTAGTTACTTGACTTTATATTCAAACCAGTGAGATAAAATGAAATGCTGATATCTCACCATTATTTGAAGAGCTTTTAGGCGTGCACCACTTTAATGTAATAATACTTTTTGTGTAACTTTCTCTCTGTTTGCTACTGCCGAAGTTTGATCCCACAATGCCTTGCCCTTCGGTACCTAAGAATTACGAGAAGCTATTCAAAATAGCAAAACACTCCATAATGTTAATTTAGATACAATTTAAGCGTGCACGAGTTTACAACAGAGTGAACATGCCTAAGTGAGGCTTTGCACAGGGAACTTTAAAAATTAGCTAGGAAAGCAGAAACCTAGTACACTTTAATCTTTCTCAAAGCAAAACCAAGAAGAGCATAAAACTCTGGACAATCTCGTAGGTTACTTCCGATCTGCAAACGGATATAAGTATCCATTCACGTTTAACAAACTTATGTAACGTTTAGGTGGTGTTTACGTAACCAATAATCAAGATACGATTAAACTATGACGTATGCATTGAGAGCAAGGATATTCATTCATGTGTACTACAGAGTAACATTGTTGTGTTGAGATGTAGTTCTGAAAAATACAGAAGGCAAATGTCCCTAGATATCGCTACTGGCTTGCAGCAAAAATCTGTAGCCAAATATCATTTTCAGTACCAGTTTCATCAATGCAACGACTAATGGAGCTCTGGGTCCAGTTACATACATTGATGTAACCGTTTGAATCAATGATAAATGTTAGTTACAAATGCAGGTCACACAACAAATTTCGAGACTGCGACATCGCAAAAAGACGAAGAGACTCACAAAACCAGTAAGTCTCGTGATGCACTTCGGCAGGGTGTATGATTTCTACGTCGTAATTTGCAGATGTCCCAGCATGCTGTTCTTCCTAAAACAAAATTGAAAACCACCATCACTGCACGTCATAAATGCTGCAACTTTTTTGTCAAGAAAAAGATAACACAGAGAATTAAAGAGAAATATATATAAAAAGCAGTGTAAGAAAAAAGGGGATTAAAAACTTAAGAAAAAATGACTTGTTCTCCTCTGAATCAATTCCCGTCAAAATTTATTAATAATCTCTAAGATACGTTAGTGATTCATTTCCTTGTACTTTTGGCCTTAACTCAAAGAGATAGAAAGAGCATTGCGTGACCATAAATCAGTTACTATTTTATCATACTACCCGTAAAAATCGATATAAGATGTTAATTGATTCCCAAACTGCAGGGAAAGGGAGCCTAGAGCAAGCAAGGTCGCCTGGAGCATTGAAAGAAAGAAAATCGTTGTTGTCAAGAGACAAATGTATTTACTTTCATAGGTATTCCTGTGATGGCAGTCGAACGCAGGTTGAAATGCTTTTTTGCCAACATGATCATCTTTGGTGGAAGGAAACTTGCACGAAACGTTACTGTGCTGGCGCTTAGGGTGCCTGAAATCTGAAAACGTAGATCTATTGGATGATATGGGCAAACCTTTATTCCTAGTTGGCTTAAACGAAGATATTTAAGTCATCTAGCGAATTTATAACTTTATTCGCTTGTAGAAATAAAGTTGCATATGATTTCTTGCATGGAAATCAATGTATACTGCACGTTTCATCATATTTAGCTAACAGATTTAATTAACATTAATGATTAAATTACACAGGCAATTGCGGGGCTCCATAAATATGAAATACAGAGGAAGGAGGTATTTTCAATTTCAATTAAGCTACAAGATTCCATGAAGCTTAGAAATACCTGTTTCTTTTCTTTGGTGATTTTGTCGGCAACATTTGAAACATTAACAATTACTAAGTCTAGGTGACATTCCCTGGAAAAGAAAACATTTTCATTCAAATGATTATATCCAAAGTGTAACAGCTCGGAAGTGCTGCCACAGGTTGAACTTCCTATGGGCTCTCGCGAAGCAAAGCACTTTTCAAGTGCAAGCACAGTATCAAAGAACAAATGTCTTCATTCGCAAATACATTCAATTTCAACTTCATTCTAAACGAGGATTGCAAGACACTAAGTCAAATATGGAGACAACTGTCACAAATGATGCCTGGCACCACCCACTTCCCAGATTTAAGGAGGTCTTGGACATTATCCACAGGATAATAATTAAACTCGAATAGCCCCAAACGAAGAAAAAAGTACACTTTCTTAGCATTGTGAGGACAACTGAATTAGCCAGGTGATGTAAGGCCTAGTCTCACACAATGAACGAAATACATATGCGATTAAAATTGAAATAATTATTTTAAAATTTGACTTTGATTATTGATGCTCTTCTGGAAGGCAGATACAGATGATTTTATTAGTACCATGCGAGAAATAAAAAAATATAGCTTAGTATTCCTTTAACCTCTCAATGTCATATCTTTCCTGGATCTCTGAGATTCTGGAGATCAATGGTTTGGTGTCTTTCTCACTGTAAAGCAATTATTAACACACTGTTTAACAATACTGAAATGTATGTTATATATTGTATGTTGGCAAGAAACATCAGTTGTTGGTTTTACATATAGAAGTTGCTTGACAACTGAATAATTGCCATTTTATAGTTTGTGAGCATTTCGACTAAAAATTTATGCAATTTAATCATTAATATATATATATATATAACTGTATTGAATCATCTTATACATAGGAAAAGATGCCATTACATAGTGTAGTTAATGAACACAGAGAGCTAGTCAAACATTTTGCAACATTGGGCTTGCAAACAACAGCACTTGATTGAGCATATAGCTGAAAATGTTTTAGTGCTAAAATTTCTGGTTGTGATTAAATTGGCTTTAAACAGTCAAATGATGTGGAAGTTATGAAGAGGGAGAGCAGAAGACTGCATTTCTACGGAAGATGAACCAGGAGAAACAGGCAACAGTGAGATGTGGAAAGAAAGAAAGCAAACAATTTATAGCTTCAGCTTATAAAGGGTGATATGAATCTTTGTAAAACCTAAAAGTACTATAGAATACTAACTTTGATAATTTATTCACAAATCAAGTAGAGGTTTAATCAGAGATTAACAAACCTGTTTAGAGATGTGATAAAAATAATCCTCCCAAAGGAGCTTTGCTTAACCTCATCTTGAAGATCCTTTCGATATTTGAAATTCTCAATTACTGATATAACTGCAGATTCTAAGCCTGGGTAAGCAAAATAATCATCCCCATCATTTTCTTCTAGGTAATCTTCATTTGGTGGTCCAATGTTTGCAAATCCTTTGAGGATCTGTCAAAAAAAACAAACAGTAAAATTTCAAAGACTCAAATAAGCACTCCCCCCTCAAATAAATGCCCCCTAGCTAGAATAAGTCCCCACTCTAGAAGTTGAATAATTCAACAGGTGCCATCTCGTAAAATGTCCATCCTTCGAGTAAGCGCCCATCCTTCAACCTTCAGAAAGGGGTGCTAATTCTTATTATCGATGAAAACATAATTGGAAGGCAATTCAGCAAGAAAGATTAAAAGAACAACACAGTTTGTTTTAGCTATTGATGAAGATGAGGAGGGTGATGAAGATGTAGAAATAGATATCTGAAATCATTATTAAGAAAGAAAGAAAGAAAAAAGTGCTTCAATTAAAACACATTCCTTTTTAATTACTTCCAAATCTATTTTTTAATTTAGTGCCCCTTGATTAAGTGCCTACCTCAAATAAGTGCCCACCCTGGAGCCTCAAAAATTAAATAAGCACCATGGCTCTTATTCGAGGCATTACGGTATTACAAATAACTGCATAATGATGGATGATTTTTAATGCGTGCTAAAATCTATTGGTCTCTCTGCAAACTTAGTTCAAAAGTTTACCTTGTACCAATTTCCTCAACTATTAGAGAAATAAAATTTCAACTCAATTAGTTTAACTCAAAATCTACCTGACTGATATTCTGTTCTTCTTTCTTAAAAGAGTTCAACTTCTTGGAATCAGTATCTGAAACAACCAACTGAACCTAAAAATCAAGCATGTTATATACTTCAGTTTGATCCACTATATATGCAAGCCATATTAAACAGTATTAAGAGATTTCAAAAGTAAATAATTGAGGCCTCAAGTTCACTACCCTGTTCTTGGACCATTTCTACAAATATCAATGACATAAAAATTATCAAAAGATTAACAAATGATTTCATAGTGTTTTCCATTCAGGGGCATTCCATCTCAGATTTGCTAGTGTATTACTATTAAAAACTTTTCTGTTTTTGTAAATATCATCTATTTCTATATCACAGCACATTTTGCTAAATAATTGCAAAATAACTATTTGGACTTTTAATTGGAATTTTTGCTTCCAGTAAAAGCAACAAGAGCATTATATGACTAACTTGACGATATGTATATATTTTTCTTTTATATATATATATCTTCACTATTTCAAGTTTATTACATTTATCTATGAAGATCCACAAGCAAGGAAAAAACATTTAGTCAGCTATATTTTTACATTTTTTACATCATTAACCTCATTTCATTTACAATTTTTCATTCCTCATCATTTTGCGTTGTTCCATGTTTCTGTTTCTTGTTATCATTTCAAGCACAAGATTCAGAAATTCAGAAGGCCCATTTAGCATCCATTCATTTTTAAATAACTACCTTCAATGCCCACCAGACAACTTTTCCATGACATAAACACAGAAAAACCATAAAATATTTTCTATAAACATTGCTTCTAGCTTTTATTAGCTCACTTTTTAATTGGATACTGTTTTAGTGGTAAGGGTCCAAATGCCAAATGGTTCATGTTTTAAATACAGAAAAATAATATGAACAGCTGTGGTGGTACAGAAATTGAAAATGGCTTTGAAAAAAGCAAACATTTTATAACATATTGGCTAAAAGCTTTTATGATTAATCATAGAAGAATAATAATTAATCATTAGGCTGTGTTTCAAGAAGCAGGGTTTTAAGGGGCTGGGTCACATGTAAGGCTGAGGGACACTGCTTTTGTGTTGATGCTTGTGGATGGGGTGAAGTCACCACAGCAACTGGAGTGAGATTTGGAAAGACATCTCAAGGCAAGTATCTCAAGGCAACAAGAAGATTTTAACATCTTTTATTGCTAAAATATTTTGTCATTGCCAGAGCCACAAGAATGATTTTATATGCATATTTTGACACCATTTCATTGATCTGTTTAATGAATAAAAAAACTCTTTGCACTGCAACTGTCATCACAAAAAAAGAACAGCTTAACTATTTTGATTCGCCAAAAGGACAGGACAGGGGGGTCGTCTGTCTGTGAAAGGAAAGGAAAGGTTCACAGTGGACATTGCTGAAAGCCAATTGTTTAAAAACAATTTGATCCAAGCATCGAAAGATTTTATGGCCCGCTTTTTTGTCAATTGATACAATTGTAACAAAATCACTCTTGCATGTAGGCCTTCCTACAGAAAATTTCAGTTTATAGTTAGGTGACCCAGCCCCTTTTTAAGAAATGATACTATAAATTAAAGACCTTCAGACAAATTATTCACTCTCATTAATTTTCTTAGATCTCTTATATTTCAAAAAAAAGCAAAGTGTAAAAGCCAGCAATATCCGTAAGACATAATTACCATATATTTATCCGGAAGCAAATCATAGATTATTCTGCAATACTCAACAGCCGCTTCAACCATCACTGTCCAGACACTTTTGGCTAAAGTACCAATGGAATTGGCATGGGATGACGAACGATGCTTTGACGATGAAGGCGTTCCTCCTTCTGTTGAAACTTCAATTCGAATATTATTAAGGGATGCTACCGCATTGCCGTGGTCTAACACAACAGCTGTGCGTTGTGTCATTGCTTCCTCGCTTTCTGACTCTAGATGCATCGCAAATCACTTTGTAAGACATTCATCAACACTCATCATCAATTTAGGCCATGGGAGTTGTGATAACTCCTGCGCAGTGTCTGTTTTCATTTCTTTGTCAAACTCAAACTCAATGATATAGAAGCGCCGAAGGCGCTAGATGTCCAACTCGGGTCGAGCTGCAATAAGGTTCAGTATGGAAAATTGCTTGTTTTAATGAATGATTTTCTCGTGGCTCACATCTATTTCAGTGCATTTTCTGATGCAGGTAGTTAGAGGAGATATAAATCAACAACACATAACAATTTTTTGGGGTTTTTAAAGAGAATTTTGAAAATTATGGCTCTTTTTGTTTACGCAGTTACGGGGGGAATATAGCAGTGGCTTGTCGTGTTTTTATGAGTTGAAAAAGTACGTGTTTGCAATTTTATCTTCATAAAGATTAGAAAAAACTTTTAAGTCTATTACCTAATAATATAGACCATTTTAGATATATAATTCTTGAATTTTTCTGTCTGTCGTTTAGAACCTAATATGGCATGAGTAGGACAGTGCGAATAATTTATATTTAGTTTGTCAAATTGAATTTGTAGAAAAGAAATTTGATATGAATCGAATTTATTTCCTTATGGTAGAGCCAAATTAGAAATTTTTGTCGTGAAAGTGTACCCCGAAGGTATTTTATAGGCCTAAAGATACGGGGAGGGACGCATTGTGCTGAAGAATAATTACAAGCAACGAGTGTGGTCAGGGGCGGTCTGGCCCGGGTGGCAAAGTGGCGATCGCAACCCGGGCCCTGTGTACAAAAAATTTACGGGCCTTTCCGCGTTGGAGAAAATTTTTTAACTTAATGTCAAATACTTAATGCCCTAGACTGATTATATTGCGATTAAAGTCCCAATACATGCGCTTCAAACCACCCAAACCCTGGTTTCCGTTATTTCAGTCATGTGTTAAATATTATGTGTACCCTGGGTCCCAGGGCCACAAAATTTCGAGCGCGTAAACTGAATGCCAAGCAGAGAAGCGCATGAGCGTACTCTTATCTTCTATTTCCGCTCTCTAATTTATGTGGCTCTAATGCCCAGGGTATCTGACTGTCAGAGACACTGCTGTGGGAGCAAAAATCAATTGGAGGGGGGGCGGCAGCTCATTTTTTTTATTTCCACTTAGTACACTGTTATATAGGAAATAAGGCTTAGGCTGCAATTATTGGGAGGGGGGCTTCAGTAAATGAAAATAACGTAAAATTCAACATAGGAAATTCAAAAGAGAGATGACAAGGGTTCGTGACTATCATCTGGTTACAGAGATCTGTATCAGGATTTAAAAATTAAGGACATCCACCCTCGGAATTTTGCGAAAATTAAAAACAGTCAGCCTGAACCTAAATTTACTGGTTTTTATAAAAAAAATAGTGAATACAACATACACCTAGCAGCATACCCTTCCCTCTACAACGCGTATAAATGCTTTATGATACTTAGCTGCACCCAAGTTTCCTTTGAAAGATTATTCAGCGCGACAGTAAAAACCCGCATAAAAGAACTTGGCTTTTTTTCTGGCAGCCTGAATAGGTTCTTAATTAACAGGCTGCTATTCTAAATTTCAGTATAAAAGGTTCTTAACGAAGTTCTTATATACGTACATGGCTTGCACACATTAACAATGCTTTCCACCACAAGAATTCTAACAGACGCACTTAAACCAGCTTTGTTTTCATGATAAATTTCAACCAATCAAATGAGTTTGTGCTGTTAGATTCTCCAATTAGAATGCAACATACCATAACCTGATTTACCCTAAGCTTGTTTAATCTGCCAGTGTTAATAGGGTGTAAATATACCACTCTAAAAACCCTTATATATAGATATATATGATTTTTATATAAAGTTTAATTTTCTAATACCGTATATCATATAGTGGTCTGTAATACCGATTTTTACGACCGATACATTACAGAGGTTGTTGGGTCTGTTTGAAGAAAGGTGATCTATTAACTAAAAAGTTTTATTAGGCTCTTTATCTTTATATTAGTTAAGTTAAGTGAGCTTCTGCTAGATGCCCAGAGCATCATAGGGCAAATGATAAATTATTACTGAATGTTCTATCTTCGACAAGATCAAATTACGAAATTTACAGCAATGTTGACATTTACAGGAGATGTTTTGTTTTTGGTTCTGGGCATTTCGCTTTGTTTTAAGTTTCGACAAGAGAGTTTAGACATGAGAATTACAATACATGAAAACTATATCGAACTGACGCGGAAAATTCACATTTTTTTAACAAAGCAGGAATCTGGGATAGCCGCAAAAAGACATTTTCACAAATCCCAAAATTTAATTCTGCACATTTTGGAAATCAATACTGCGCGTTTTTAAATTAATACTGCACAAATTGTGTAATACTGCACACTAAAATAGGCCCTGGAAAGAGCATTATCATTCAAGAAAGGAACATGCACAAATTACATAACAAAATATAGGCAACATTGGAAAAATCCTCTTCTCCCTAAATTATCATCTAATTTGCATCATTTATTGCTCATTATGACCGTAAAAATTTGTGTGAACCCCCTCCCTCATCTTTGATTAGGTAATATGTGAACGTTCCCATACCCAACTGCCAACGCATCGATAATCTTATCCAGATACAACCATTTTGAATGGAAAGAAAATAGGATTGTACTAAGTTAATGCTTCAAAGGTGAGATCCCTCTCAGCTATTCGATATCAAGCATTTAAAATAATTCGCATTAGTCATAAGTGAAGAAACTAATTTGCGTTAGTCATAAGTCTTGGTTAATCATAGGTCTTGGCCGTTTTTGAAGATATCGGAAAATTGTTCAATAAATTGTACAATTATGAGGAATTGGCAAAAAACTGGTGGTAATTTGATACATCATTAATTCGGTTTTCTCAATTTTATGGTGAAGCTAACTAAACTGTAAAATTTATGACGCCGAAACCATAACCACGGCGAACTTTTTATGCAAACGTTCTTTCCTCGGCCCGGGCTGACTAGTCATAAGTGAAGAAACTAATTTGCGTTAGTCATAAGTCTTGGTTAATCATAGGTCTTGGCCGTTTTTGAAGATATCGGAAAATTGTTCAATAAATTGTACAATTATGAGGAATTGGCAAAAAACTGGTGGTAATTTGATACATCATTAATTCGGTTTTCTCAATTTTATGGTGAAGCTAACTAAACTGTAAAATTTATGACGCCGAAACCATAACCACGGCGAACTTTTTATGCAAACGTTCTTTCCTCGGCCCGGGCTGACTAGTCATAAGTGAAGAAACTAATTTGCGTTAGTCATAAGTCTTGGTTAATCATAGGTCTTGGCCGTTTTTGAAGATATCGGAAAATTGTTCAATAAATTGTACAATTATGAGGAATTGGCAAAAAACTGGTGGTAATTTGATACATCATTAATTCGGTTTTCTCAATTTTATGGTGAAGCTAACTAAACTGTAAAATTTATGACGCCGAAACCATAACCACGGCGAACTTTTTATGCAAACGTTCTTTCGAGAGGTCAATTGATGGTTGTTATCAATTTTAGTTCTTTGCGAATATTAATAGTTGCCTTTCGAAAATTTTCAAGTTTTTTGAAAATTATAACTCGAAGCAAGGGCGTACCGGGAAATTTCGAAGTGTCCTGGTAGGCTGAGATTCAATGGGTGGAGAAAAACTGGATAGTTTTCGCAGGTAGAATTGCAAAAATTTGGTGTATCCTACAAAGCAGTGAGAGATCACTTCCAGAATATTTTCACCAACAAAAAGTCCAAAAATAGTAGAGAAGAAAGTGCAAGTGAAATTAACCCTGAGCACACAGAAAAAACATCTTGCCAGTTCTCCTTGCAAGATAAGAGAGCTTTTTGATGCAGCAATTGCTGATCAGCAAGCAGCGTGTGCAAATTTTTGAGCCATTCGATTAGTTCCTTGGGTACAAAATAGCTTTTTCGTAACGGTATGTAGAGGGGTTGTAAGTCCGTAGAAAACGTAGGAATTTTGCTGATCGCACGTGCAAGGTACACTCATAAACCACGGTGAAATCCGGGTTAAGTCACTTGAATCGTTAAGATGAATAAGCCTGTTTGAATAAACACAGTCATACATTGGATACATGGATGTGCCATGCGACATTGTAAATGAGACATGCGACCACAACCGCAAAGCAACGATAATCAGCTTAACAGGTCAAGTGATTTTCAGACCTCAACTAGAAGTTTTGATAAAGAAGTTTTGGAAATTTCCTTATACATGAAATTTTTTGCATTTTCAAAACTTCTGCTAGTTTCAAACATGGTTATAATTGTCTGCCTTGAAAGTTCGGCTCTAGAAAGTGGAGAAATCGAAAAATGGTTTCGTCAAGAAAACTATTACCATAACTTTAAAGTCTAATAGAATGCACAAGCTGTGTGAAAAGATGCAGAAAAAATTGCGGCCTTTTTCAATTCGAAACCTTATTCCGCATGCGCAGTAGAAAAGTTAACCGGGCTCAACCCTCTTTCGTGCTAACAATACATTATTTCAAACCGCGGAGTCAGCCCGGGCCGAGTCAGCCCGGGCCGAGTCAGCCCGGGCCGAGTCAGCCCGGGCCGAGTCGGCCTCTCAGGCATGCTCTGGGCATCTAGCAGAAACTTAACCAAATAAAGATAAAGAGCCTAATAAANCGTTATTTTTCTCCGATCGCAGTAGCTGCCTAAAAATTTCACCATATCTTTGTAACGCGCTGAGATTTGTAAGAGTTGTTAGTTTCTTTAGACTGAGCACTGAAGCATCGAACACCGTAGAGAAATAGTTTTGTTGATTTTCTTGATTACTTAGATAAAATATGAATCAAAACTATGGACGAAAATTTGCATAAAAAGAAGTATAAATAAAGGATATTCCTGGGAATTCGGAGCCTGGAGAAATCCCGAACTAGGCAGGCTTAAGAAGGTACCTTTCAGAGTTGTTCTAATGTTCACAACTTTAAAAACATAATTTTCGCAACTTTAGATCTGGAAAAGTTTTTGATAAAAAAGAAATTATGCTTTTTTGCTTTGCTCTCCTTTCCAAATGAATGTATAGCGAAGGGCTAAGGGGGGGAG